TGCCATGACAATCAAGTCGTCCAGGTAAAACAACACTCTGACGCCCGACCTGCGCAGCGGCTCCAGCGCTGTCTCCACACATTTGGAGAACGTGCGCGGGGCCAGAGAATAGCCGAAAGGCAGGCAGTTGTATTGAAACTGGGCTCCTCTGAAAGAGAAACGCAGGAATTTCCTGTGTCTGGGGATGATGGGGACATGGAAATAAGCGTCCTTTAGGTCGATGGACGCGAACCAATCCCCGGAACGTACACATTCCAATACGTGCCTGACTGAGAGCATGTGGAACGGCCTCCTCATTATGCATTTGTTGAAGGAGGAGAGATCCAGGATCGGCCTCATTCCGCCCGTTTTCTTGGGCACCAGGAAGTAACGGGAGTAAAAGCCCTCGTTCTCCTCGCCCCGCGGGACTTTTGAAATCGCTCCTTTGCTCAGGAGCTCTGTTATTTCTGCCATCAGAGCAGATGTCTCTGACTGCGATGACATGACGGTCTCCAGCACCCCGCTGAAAGGAGGAGGGGGGCTGGCGAATTGGAGAGTGTAACCTTCTTTATTAATCTCGCCATCCACTCGTTCATGGGCAGATTTTGCCACGCGCAGCAACGCTCTGAAAGCGGGCGAGCAAAAATCTGGGGGGCCTCTGTGGACATTTCTGACAGCCAGAGAAGAGCCCTCTCCGCCGCCGTGTGAGCTGCAGAGCCGCTCGACACGGCCCATGGGAGGGCTGAGGTGAAAGGGCTGCGGCGGCGATAGTGTGAAACACTCGGGCCGCTCATTCTCAGTGTCAGACTCGTGCCACGGTGAAAAACCTCCACTAACACACACTGAAGGGTGAGAGGTGGGGAGGCCGCAGAGAGGCAGGGAGTGCGGGTGGGCTGTTGTGTTTATCTGATGTGAATGTTTTTCACTCATGATAATATGAGAGAGGGACAACAGCGGCTCAACAACTGACGCAGCGTGTGCGTGCGCAGCGGAGCTTGCTTGTGTGTGGGAGACGTGTGTTTCATCATCTGCAGGAAGCTCAGGGGAGAGAGGGGCAGGCTGACTGTTAGGAACATGCTCTTTATGGACATTTGGTTGGCTCTGAAAAGAGCCGTTGTGTCCGGCTGTTCCGGGAAGAAAACACACGTCCCCCGCGTCCCGTCAATACCTCCGCTGTTTGCGGGGAGGCTCGGCGGGGGGGTTGGACCAGGAGCAAGCCGCTCGCCTGTTCTTGACTGCAGGGCGGCGCTGTGAAGAGGGAGCAGCGGCCGCCGGAGGAGCCCGGGGGGCCTCGGCTGGAGCCGGCGGAGGCGCAGCCGCAGCAGTGGCCGCGGGGCGCCTCGGCCTGGGGCGGGAGTCGCGGCGATCACGCCGGGAGCCCTGTGAGCGCCGTGGGTGTTGAGGTGGCGCTCTGCTCCACGCTGTGTGCCGCTTCACCTTGTCCGCCTCGTCCGAAGCTTGCTGCATGTGTGTGATTGCATCCTGGAGGAGCGGCCCAAACAGCCCATCGGGGCTGATGGGGCCGTCCAGCAACTCCTTCCTGATCTGCTCCGGCAGATCGGACATGTGCAGCCACATGTTGCGTTGCAGCACTGTCATCCACGCCATAATCCGGGACTGGCCGACCGCCGCCGCTGTGGCGAGCGTCAAAATGGCGGCCGCGGCTTTCCCAAACTCGCTGGCGAGCTCGGGGGAAAGGACGTCGGGCTGAGCAGCGACAGATGACATGGACGAGGCCAGCAGCGATATGTTGTTGATGGCGGCTGTTACCTGGGCGGCACACTGGTGGGAGCGGTCGGTGACTCGAGCCGTCACCTGGTCGCGGGCGGAGGGCGGAGTCGGCTTCCTCCTGCCGAAAAAGGTGGCTTTAGGCAGCAGGATGGCTGCCAGGCTGGGCTCCAGAGGTGGGACAGAGGGAAAACCACGGTCAGTGAGGCCCTCGACCTTCGTGAAGTTGACGTACCTCGCCACCGGCGCCTTCAGCTTCCCAGGCTCGGCCCCCGCTTCGGAGAGAAAAGGCTGAAGCGGTGGAAAAAGGGGCCACACAGGAACCTGTTTGGAGGCTTGCTCTGGCTGGTAGATGTCGCCGAGCATGGCGCTAGGGCAGGTGCAGGAGGCTCAGCCGGCATCGGCACGCCCTTGCGCTCAGCAGCCGTCTTGATTATGTCGGGGAGATCCCGGAGGAGAGCCCCGCAGGACGGCAAGCTGGAAGGCGGAAGTGGAGCAGGAGCCAGCGACGCCGCCTTCTTATCCAAGTCAAACTCCAGATCTTCCAGCGGGAAGAGGGGAGAGCCTGGCGGGGAGCCAGCAATGGAGGGAGCAGAGTCAGAGGACTCGAGCCCTGCATCGCCAGCAGTCCCGCCGGCGAGGTCCGCCGTGAAGCTAACTGGCTTAGCCCAGCTAGCTTCGTCGTCCTCCTCCTCCTGCAGGGCCGCGAAGGCGTCGACCCGCCGTCGCTTCTCCTCCACGGGCAGCTGTGCGCAGTAGGGGCACGAGGCCCGGGGAGTCAGAGCCAGGCCAGCGTGCTGGGGACCGAGGCAGGTCTCGCAGCGGGCGTGGAGATCAAACCCCATGATGTAGCCGGCGTGGCAGGACGGGCAGAGGCGGACTCCTTCCGAGCGGCGGACCTCAACGGTAGAGCGGTGAGTAGCCATAGGAAAAGCTCTTTAGTCAGGAAAATTGCTCTTTAGATGCTACTCTGCTCTCCGAAATGACTGCTATGCAGCGCTGAAGAAAAAAGGGGAGCAGATCTCTGGTCTCGCCGGTATTATATACCTAAATTGCGGACCTGAGAGAGGCCCGTGCACGGCACATGGGCGCGAAAGAAATCTTCAGGACTGCGCATGCGCGCGGGGATGAACCCAATAGCGACAGCTCTTAGAGGGCGAAGCCTATACGAAATAGAACAGCTTGCCATGCCAAAAGCATAAATGCAAGCACTTTCAACATCAAATGTTCAGGGCTGTCCTCTGTGACCCTGACCCCATCTACATCCGTATATTCCTCTCCAAAAATGTCAGTATCTTCAAGCTGATCCTCTTCCATGAAACTCTCCACTTGATCATAGTAGCCATCTTCATCTGGAGACTCTGTGTCACTGGCACTCAGGAAAAGCTCGAAGTCTTGATCATCATTGTCATCTGTAACCCAAACACAACACCCATTTTAAAACCACAGACACACAACCATCACCAAGGAGGACAGGTCAGGACAATGCAGAGTAATTATACATTCAAACTACTGTAAATACAAAAGAAGTAGCACAGATTTCTCTGGGTGCTTTAGCACAGTGACAGTCTCCAAAGAATTTTCGTAGTTTGTAAGCTACAGGCTTTTGACATTATTAGGCGCACAATCTTACCTTGCAAAGTACAGTCCTCATACAGTTCTTGGTCTTGTATATGAGTCTGTTTGTCCCCTTGTTGCATACAAAACACTGTTGATGGCAACTGTGGAGCATTGGCAGTATCTGAAGAGTCACTGGCACCCAGGGGAAGCTTGAGATTGAGTTATTTATAACAGAAAAACAAGAGCCATTTTACTCACACAGTATTTCCCACAAAATGTAACAAATAAAAAAATGCTCTCCAGTCAGACTTTAGTCAAACATTTGTGGTATCCCACAAGTAACTTAGTAAGTTTGAATGCATCATATTTGTATTTTTACTTGAGTAGATTTTTAGTGAAAAATAATTACTTGTAATGTTACTCATTTATGCATTCATGATTTGTTAAGAGGTAGGTGGTCAGCTGGTCCCAAGTCTGCTAACGTTGCTTGGTTACCTTACGCATTTACGCCTCCACGCCCCCCTTTTGAGTTTGTTCAGAGCAAAATAATGACTGAAACTACAGCATGGTAGTATAGCTTTCAAACAGCACTAACATTAGCAGCTACAGATGAAAATATTGTGCACGGTGCAGCCTGGCCTGAAATGAACAGGGCGTAATTACAGTTACTAAATAGACAGTCATACATTGCAGAGTGTCGTCCACATAATTTTCTGGTTGTTGTCCATGTTCGTTGTCCTCTGGTTGCGTGCTAAACAAATTTTCTGAAATTCGCAGAGTAGGCATATCGGTAGCATCTTTTATCCAAACTCCATTTCAAAAATATGTTTTCTTGTGCGAATAAAAAAGTGTGAAACAAAATCGTTTCAATGACCACAAAACTGTGTCTTCTGTTTCCTTGTTCCCTCCATAGCTTGAAAGCAAATATTTTTTCCGATTTGCTTCTGTAATAAGTAGGGGTTAGCGTTCCGGTCCGTTCTTCTTCTTCTTCTTTTAAATTTCCATCAGTGCAGACACTGTTAAGCGTTTATCGATCTTTTAGTTTACGATTTTTCTGATAAACTGAGGAGTGACTGAATTTAACCTGTATTTATTTCGCTACAGCGCTTTATTTTCGTATTTCTGCTTTCCAAGCTTGCAATTGGATGATAACTACAATGACGTCATCCAGTTCCAACCAATGGAATTTGTGTCGAGTGAAAGTAACCAATAGCATTAGCTGTAACTGTAGCGGCGCAACATTGTGTTTGTGGATGGGTGTTACCTGTGTATATAAAACAAAAGGACGTTAAAGGATAACTAAAATATACAGGTTAGTAAAGGTACGTCGTAACCTGCTTACAATGAGAAGATGGCTTGCAAAAGATCGCTGCAGTTTTATGGAGAGCAGAGTAGAGACGTTACGCCTTTACGTCGGGACAATGTGGCTATTCAAACTCCGAGTCCGAACGAAAACAGACTGGTGTATATGGTAAATGCAAGTTTGAAGAGGATATTTGAAAAGCTGGAGACAAGATAGATAGACTAGAGGTTGGATAAGATGGAGGCTGACATCAATGAGCTCAAAGAGGCGAAGGAGGAGAATTAAAGATAGCTGGGAACAATTCTGTTGCAGTAAGTTATTTTCTGACCATCACAAACATTCGGTTGTGTCCGCATAACTTTGTGTGCTTTATTTATTAATGTATTTGAATTGAGCCCTCATACTGTGTTGGATTTTTACAGGAAGCCGTACGTAGATTGCACAATGGGGAAAACAACATACACAAATATGACCCACAGATAAGGTATATCTTTAAAACTATTGTATCATAACAGTCCTTTCTTCTAAATTATATTGTTAATCAACCTTCTTTAATTACTGCTCCACAGTCTATCCTCCCCCCACAACCTCAAGGTCACAACCTCTTTTTAATGGCGTCTCCATGGCTGTACCGGATGTAGATCCTGCTGTTGTTAAAGGTAAGTCTCAAGAGAATGTCCCAAGGCTACTATTTAACTGTATAGATTAGTTAGTTATAAATAAACACATTCTCCCCCCTCACTATCTCCCCCTCTCTCTAGCATCCTGCAAGACGTATTTTGAAACTGTTAGAAGGGGTTACAGGATGGCCCAAGATGAAAACAAAGACAAGATGGAGGACAGCAGGATCACTGCGCACATGAGATAAAGAAAAAGAAGAGTAAGTATAAATAAATATAAATCTCAATAAAAGACACAGTCTGGGAGAGCTTATTCGTTTTTTTTTATACATAGTATTATTTATATATTGTATTATCTATAATTCTATATAGTTTTCTATATATTGTTTTATTTATATATTCTATATTATCTATATATACTGTATTTATATATTCTATATCATTCCATATTATCTATATATTGTATTATTTATTCTATAGTATTTGTATATTATATTGTTTTCTATATATTATACACAGGCCTTATATATTATATGGGGTTATATATTGTATGACTAATAGTATAGTGTATTCTGTGCTAATATATTTTGATTTATAGAATTTTGACTATGTATGTATGTATGTATGTATGTATGTATGTATATATATATATATATATGTCATGTGCCCAGTGTCATTTACAAATAATAAAAATAACAAACTCAACTTTGTCTATCTGATTGTTTTTACATTATAACCATGAACACCAATGATAATAAATATTAATAATGAGTAATAATAAACCCAAATGAGGCCATAAACTGGACCAATAGTGTGGGGGTTTAGAGGAGGGAAAAGGAATTGAGTAACCAATCCTATGTAAGACCTCTGACCAATTGATGGAGGCCACTGCCTTGTGGCCCAAAGATGTGATGCTAATATTCCCTTGCGTGGACCCCCACCGGTACATATCCAGGAGTATTCGGGATTGTGTGACGGGACAGCAAACTCCCATACACACACGTTTATCTGTGTAGTACACAGGAGTACTCAGGAGTTTTACATGCCCAATTACAGCTCTTTTCACGCAGTGAGCTGGTGATACACTTTTACGCGAAATCAGCTGTTCATCAGAGTGATGGCTTGTAGGAAGAAACTGTCTGTTGGTTTTGGCGTACAGTGCCTCCTACCAGAGGGGAGAAGCTGGAACAGGTTGTGTCTGGGGTGAGATGGATCTGCAGTGATGTTTCCTGCCCGTTTCCTGACTCCGGAATGGAGGGCAGGTTGGCACCGATGATTTTTTTCTGCTGTCTTGACTGTCTATTGTAGTCTGCTCCTGTCCTTTTTGGTGGCAGATCCAAACCAGACAGTGATGGATGTGCAGAAGACAGACTGGATGATGGCTGTGGATCAGCAGGCAGGTTGAGGTTCCTGAGCTGGCGCAGGAAGTACATCCTCTGCTGGGCCTTCTTGATGATGGTGTCCGTGTTGGGCTCCCACTTTAGGTGCAGGGATATACTGGAACCCAGAAACCTGAAGGATTCCACAGCAGACACAGGACTGTTGAGTATGATGATGGGGGGCAGAGTAGTGTGGCTCCTCCTGAAGTCCACGATCATCTCCACAGTTTTGAGTGTGTTAAGCTCCAGGTTGTTCTGGCCACACCAGAGAGCCAGCTGATCAACCTCCCGTCTGTTGGCCGACTCATCACCGCCACAGATGAGGCCGATGACTGTGTCAGCGAACTTCGGGAGTTTAACAGATGGGTCTCCTGAGGTGCAGTCGTTGGTGTAGAAGGAGAAGAGCAGGAGGGGAGAGCACACACCCCTGGGGGGCGCCAGAGCTAGTAGTCCGGGTGCTGGATGTGATTTTCCCCAGGCTTACCTGCTGACTCCTGTCAGTCTGGAAGTTTGTATTCCACTGACAGGCGGAGGCTGGTGTAGCAGGTCTACGTATGATTTTTAATAAACTTATGAAAATTAATATTTCAGAAATATTAACTCATACCTTGAAAAAAAGGGCACCACCGGAGATTCAATTCGCCCAGAGTCTCTGGACCTCTGGGTAAATTTTTAATAATTATACAATTATTCACTAGTGATCAGTTAGTTAATAATCGCTCAATTATCTTAAATCAATCAGTGAATCTCATATCGAAGGAGTAAGTCCTCCGTGACAGGGACTTGGAGTTAGACAACACACACACACACACACACAGTTCCTGTGATTACGGTGAAATTTATTAGTTAACTAAGGTGAAATAAATACAGTTAAATACACATCAAAGAAATAAGCAGTGGCTGAACAAACATGATGTAAACAGCAAGAATGTTGAGTTCTATTGTAAACTGGGTTCTCATGTGGGGAGAATTTGATTCATACGGGCAGCTAATAAACGCAAGCTATGATAATAAGTCAGTTAAATTTGGCTATGAGTTTTAAGGGTTAAAGATAATTGATTAACAAACTATTGGACATCACTGATCACAGAATGCAGGGTTTTAGTCTTACTGCTTGTTGTTTCTCCCAGCCGGGTTGCTGGTTGGTGGCCTCACGCTGGCGGAGTTCCGTGCGTTCTCGGTTAGGACGCTTAAAGCTGTTGGCCGGATGCGTTCTCTGCCAGGGAATTGCTCCGGAGGTCCGTCTTGGTCAGCTTATTGAAGAAAACTTGCAGTGGGAGGCCTTTCCAACCCTGGCTCGGGTTAAAGGTTTGATTGTCCTTTGTTACTGCTGGCAGGCCCACGTGGCCAGGTCCGGGCTTCGGTGGGAGCAGTGTTAGCAAGTTAGCTCGACGAATAAAGCTTAAAGAACTTGGTCCTTCTTGAATTAAAATTGTGTAACTTAATGGTCTGATAACTTTAAACAAACAAAACCAAAAGAAAATAAAAAGCAAGTAAGTTGCTGGAAACGAGGGAAAAGCCAAGGTCGTGGTGCTTTGCGTGTGTGGCTTGAAAAGAACAAACTTCTTCGAACTTCTTAGGGCGTTTCTGGGAGACGGAGCACGCTGAGCGCCTGCCGAAGTGCAGAGGAAGAGCGAAGAGGAGCCAAGAGAGCGAGCGAGTGCGTCTCGCTGCTTTTGTTTGTTGGGGCGTGGTTCCCCAGAGGGGCTTGGCTTTGTTCCCCCTGAGGGCTTGTTCCAGTTTCCTGAGAGACTGTCTTTTTAACTTTTAATATGTATATTCTAAAACCTATTTGCGCGTGTTGTAATCAAATATCTTCCCACAATCAATCAATCAGATGAGAGGAACTTAACTAGCTTCCTGGATAATATTGGTTGTTACACATTCTTACTTAGAGAATATAAGCATGATACACGAATGGCATCAGATTATGAAAAGGTAAATACAGAGTGACATTTATACATTAAACAGCATTTCAGAACGATGGCATGTAATACTTATTTTGTCCACTTGGGGGAGCTCTGGTTCCATGACGATAGCTTTGATTATTCTTTAAACAATCCTTTGCTCAGGAGCTGGGGAATTTAGTTATTTAACATTAAATTCGAGCTGGAAAATTAATCAAGTAGTATAGGATAACATTTCTTTATCATATCATTTCTAAAGGAAGTGTCAGAAAGTGTTGGGAACAAAGCATTGGTTACAACATAAAATGAAGAAATGTCAGGGATCCTTGCTGAAAATTAAAGCACTGCAATATTAACTTATTTAGATTCTTCTTTTCAACAACAACATGTGTTTTTTTTTGTCATTTTAACAGTCAGGCACCGAATCTCATCTCCAGCTTCACCAGAGGCGGCAAGTTTTACTATCGAACTGCCCACAAACAGCACTTAGGGAAAGCAAACCTTTCACCTCCTCCTTTTTGTGCTTCAGCTGTCTGTTGAGGGTTGATATCTCAAACCTCCTCCTTTTCTTTCTCTCAGGGAGAGAGAAGGAGTTTGGAGTCTCCAAATATATTTGATATAAAATGAACAAATCCACACTGGCTTGTTCACAACACTGGCACAGTCAGCTGGGTGAGTTTGGTGCTGAGGATGTCCGGGATGATGGTGTTGAATGCTGAGCTGAAGTCCACAGACAGGATCCTTGCATAAATCCCTGAAGAGTCGAGGTGTTGCAGGATGTAATGCAGTCCCAATTTGACTGCATCATCCACTGACCTGTTAGCCCTGTAGGCAAACTGCAGGGGGTCCTTCAGGTGGGCCAACACCAGTCTTGCAAAGGACACATGAGAGCCACATCAACACAATTTAGACTATTGTAAAATAATGAATAGAGAATTTATTCATAACAGAGTGAAACAAATAGTGATAAGCTAAATTGCACTTCAGGGTGAGCCAAGGCCAACATAACAAACAAAACAGCTCTAACTAGAAATCTGCGCTAACTTGTCAAACAAACAAATGAAAACCAACCACAAACAACTGACCTCCCTTACTAAAGTAAACAGGAGAAAAACAAGTGAAACAAAAGTGGCGGCCCACCCCTAATTAAAAAAATCAAGCTGTGGCCTGTTGCAAGAAGAGGAAGATGCCAAGATGCTCCTGCACACCTGCAGCTGAAATCTTCTCCGCTTAAATAGCAAGCCTTCGGGGAACAGCCAATCATCTGCCACCAGCAGATGATTGGCTGCCACCACAGTTCTGCCACAGTTCTGCCACCAATCCCCCACCGACAAGAGACATAATCTACCAATCACACTGATGTAATAGCACAGACCTATTTACATAAGAAACGGACAGGAAACAGAACAGATGGCAAGAAATACAATAAAACATATATCAAAGTTCACAAATTAAGACCACAGTCTAACATACATGAAGAAAATAATCTATATCTTCAGGCATGGAACAAGAACAGGGAGACATTCAGCGCTGGGAGAATACTGTGATACAGTGTCAAAGTTCATTCTTGATATTCAATCCAACAATTATATTTCAGTCTAGCTCAAAGTGGTGGTCCAACTGACTGCCTGTCCAACACGTCCTCATACCTAAGTGACAAAATAGGTAGACTGTCCCAAACTACATATATGACTATAAAACAAGAAATTCCCTGAGCACAGCAACAACAACCAGGTGCTGGTAGATAGCAGGATGAGGCTATGAAAAGTCAAAAAACAAACTACCGCACACTGATCTGAATTTACTGCATTTATTGTGAGCAACGCATTTTGCCCATCATGTCTTCAGGCTCACACAGTGAAATTACAAAGACACTCACAGGTGTGCTAAATAGACACTGTGTAGGTCATATGACCAGTACATTCCGTTTTTTCTATAAATTTTTTCTCGTGTATATACATTTATGAAATCAACATCTTATACAAAATCTTAATAATACTACATATAATAATACATATGACCACAGTCATATTTGACAGTTGGAATAGTTGGTGACACTTGGTTAACAGTCG